CACCAAAAAAGAAGAGGTCGACCCTGTACGGCCAAGGGCCATCGCCAAAAAAGAAGAGGTCGACCTCTACGACCAAGGGTCATCGCCAAAAAGCGGAGGTCGACCCCGTACGGCCAAGGGCCATCGCCAAAAAAGAAGAGGTCGAACCTTACGGCCAAGGGCAATAGCCAAAAAGAGGAGGTAGACCCCCTACGGCCTAGAGTCATTGCCAAAAAGAAAAGGTCGACCCCTACGGCCAAGGGCCATCGCCAAAAAAGAAGAGGTCGACCCCTACGGCCAAGGGCCATCGCCAAAAACGAAGAGGTAGACCCCGTACGACCAAGGGCCATCGCCAATAAAGAAGAGGTCGACCCCTACGGCTAAGAGCCATCGCCAAAAAAGAAGAGGTCGGCCCCTACGACGAAGGGCCATCGCAAAAAAATAAGAGGTCGAGCCCTACGGCCAAGAGCCATCGCCAAAAAGAAAAGGTCGACCCCTATGCCAAGGGCCATCGCCAAAAAAAAAGTGGTCGACCCCTATGGCCAAGGGCCATCGCCAAAAAAGAAGAGGTCGACCCCTACGGCCAAGGGCCATCGCCAAAAAAGAAGAGGTTGACCCCTACGGCCAAAGGCCATCGCCAAAAAAGAAGAGGTCGACCCCATACGTCCAAGGGCCATCGCCAAAAAAGAAGAGGTCGAACCATACGGCCAGGGCCATCGCCCAAAAGAGGAGGTCGACCCCGTACGGCCAAGGGCCATCGCCAAAAAAGAAGAGGTCGACCCCTACGGCCAAGGGTCATCGCCAAAAAGAGGAGATTGACCCCGTACAACCAAGGGCCATCGCCAAAAAAGAAGAGGTCGACCCCTACGACCAAGGGCCATTGCCAAAAAGAGGAAGTCGACCCCCTACGGCCAAGGGACATCACCAAAAAGAAGAGGTCGACCCCTATGGCCAAGGGCCATCGCCAAAAAAGAAGAGGTCGACCCCTACGCCCAAGAGCCATTGCCAAAAAAGAAGAGGTTGACCTTGTTCGAACCACGACGGGTTAACATTTTGACAAGCTCGAAATAACACCCCTATGGCCAAGGGCCTTCGCCAAAAAGAAGAATTTGACCTCGTCCGAATCAACCTTCGGCCTCGTCCGAATCAGCATTCAGCCTCGTTCGAACCACGACGGGTTAACATTTCGACAAGCTCGAAATAACACCCCTACGGCCAAGGGCCATCGCCAAAAAGAAAAATCCGGCCTCGTCCGAATCAACACTCGGCCTCGTCCGAATGAACACTCGGCCTCGTCCGAATCAACACACATCCTCGTCCGAATCAACACTCGGCCTCGTCTGAATCAACACTTGACCTCGTCCGAATCAACACTCGGCCTCGTCCGAATCAACCTTCGGCCTCGTCCGAATCAACCTTCGACCTCGTCCGAATTCACATTCGGCGACCTTGCCCGAATGACGGGTTAACATTTCGACAAGCTCGAAATAATACCCCTACGGCCAAGGGCCATCACCAAAAAGAAGAATTCAGCCTCGTCTAAATCAACACTCGGCCTCGTTCGAATCAGCACTCGGCCTCGTCCGAATCAACACTCGGCCTCGTCCGAATCAACACACGGCCTCGTCCGAATCAACACTCGGCCTCGTCTGAATCAACACTCGACCTCGTCCGAATTAACCTTCGGCCTCGACCGAATCAACCTTCAGCCTCGTCCGAATCAACATTCAGCCTCGTCCAAATCAACCTTTAGCCTCGTCTGAATCAACCTTCGACTTCGTTCGAATTCACATTCGGCGACCTTGCCCGAATTCACATTCGACCTACTCGCCCGTCCAGATCTGAGGACGCGAATGACCTCCTCCAATGCCGCCATCCCGGCCTTCCCCAACTCTACCGTCTTTTCGATCGACTCATCACTCAAGTCATTGACCCTTATCGAACTCTGCTAAAGTTCAGCCCGCGGGGATACAACTTTGACCTAAAGATCGGCACCTTCAGCCGCGATCCGTACTAGTCAACCTCCACATCTGAATTTCTCGAACTACGATTAATGAAGTCCACTCACCGAGCTCGACCACGAGACAACCTCAATAAGCGAAGGGACTAACTGTATGGGTCAAAATTAGATCAGAGAAATTCGGCACGCAGAGATATAAGGTCGAGATCGGACAGTCATCAATAAGGCCGAGGTCGGACAGTCATCAATAGCCGAGGTCGGACAGTCATCAATAGCCGAGGTCGGACAGTCATCAATAGTTGAGGGCAGACAATGATGAAATAGCTAGTTTGTTTTGGAATCCTCAAAGGAAATATTCTACTGAATATTCCCTCTAATTGTAATTTTTTAGGATTTTCTATGGATACCCCTTGTAAATAGGAAGAGAGAACTTCCAAAAAGGGGGCTTGCTCTCTCTCCCTCTCCCTCTCTCTAGAAAATATGTAAACATANAAAATATGGGTTGAGCATTTTTTATATATATATATATATACATACATACATACACACACACACTTAAATAATTGGATATACAATTATGAAAATGTTAATAATTTTAATATTATTAATTATTAAAGGTGGGTATCATTAATTAGTAGTTAAGTCAAAAAAGAAAAAAAAGTAGGTTGAAAACAAATCAAATAATTAAAAAAATACAAAAGGCTTAAAGCCTTGGAATAAGAATGAGCGTAATTCTCATTCAGAAAGACAAGAAGCCTATTTCTAACAAACAAGGAAATAAAGAGGCGCAGAACACACAAAAAAACACATACGCGGGGGTAGGAACAGAGGCGGACAGATATTGCAGCGAAAAAATCCTAGGGTTCTTCATAACTCACTTATTCTTGAATGTAAAATCCCCTATTATCAATTACCCTACAGTAGTAATAGGTAAGAATAGAATAGTTAATTCCCTTCTCCCTCTATATCAACAATAGATTTCATATTTAGGTGTAGTACTTTAAAATTGATTAAAATACACTGATTGTTGTAGAAACGATTGTTTGACGGGTATAAATTTGACTGGAGTCTACGTATTGGCCCAAGGAGTATTGAGGTGAGTTGATATAACCCTTTACTAAAGTGGTTTAACTCACAAAAGCACGCATACAAGGTGTTTGATGAATTGCTTAAAAGAGTTTATCTTTATTTAATTAGAGCGAGTGAGTACCCATTAATTTAGAATTGTTCTAGCAAAAGTTTAGATGATCTATTATGCTATATGTGCTTAAATTTTTAGATTTTTGTGTTATTCTTATATGTTATTTTCATGTTGAAGATTATGAAGAAAAAAGAGTCTTTAGAAATATTTTTATATGTTTATTTCATTCTTATGTCATGCTTTACATTTAAGGGAACCAATATGAGCATGTACATAATGTTCTATAAAGAAAAGATTTAGACTTGAAAAAGTCACAAGGAAGAAGTTTTAGAAAGAAAAGATTTTTGGGGAGTATCCGTTATTCTGAGAAGGGGTCATCGTCCAGGCCGAGGGTCCTGACCAAGGCGTTGACTTCCTGAAACTACTTGTGCCAAAGTAGGGAGCACATGAGCCGAGGGTCTCGTTGCTGAGAATTTACTTAGCCATGCTAAGGTATGATACATGAGCACTGAGAACCATGAAGCGAGTAGCACCTCGTGGATTGAGCCTATTCGATTAGGTTGGGATCGAACTCGTGCCGATCACACGGTGACTAAAACAGAAATAGGTCAGGATAGTTGGAACTCCCAAAGTATAAAGTGATGTATATTTTTT